TGTTGAGAACGTAAGACCACCAAAAGAGGAAATAATAGATGTAATAAGCTTGTTTAGATAGCTGGCAGGAGTGTGAGGTGGGGATTGCAGGCATTGAAATGTAGGTCGGTATTTTTAGGTTTATTTACGTATTATTTTTATTTATTTACGCATTAGAGGTTTTTTTTACCGGCCCTTTGGAATAATGTACTAAAAAATTAATGTTGATTCTATTTAAAAGCGTTTCTGTTAAGGGAAAATCGGCTTTACCGGCATATTCGGTATAACATTTACCGAGGGTTTTTGTGTTAAGTTGTCTGTAATAATATGGTAAATCTTACTCATAAGGTTCTTGTTGTTGATGTTAACGAATCTGGGAGGAATTTATTGCTTATGGTGTGGTCTGACCATCTTAATGATAATATTACCCCAGAGGTGAGGAAGGCACAAAGCACTCTGGGGAAATTGCAAGGTTGACAGATATGCAATGAATGATGATAAATTGTGGTAATAACAGGCAAGAGGAGTAGACCTATATAATGTATTTATAACATCTAGAAGGCAAGGTAGAGCATGGCCAAGTGGACTTAACCCTTCAATCTGGATGACGTGATCATCATGTCATGAAAAAGTCTGGCTCAAGGGGCGGGTGATGTCATCATGCTGTCATGGGAAAATCTGGCTGCAGGAAGAACGAAGTGAACCAGCTATTGTGAGCGTTTTGGCTGAAGGCTGGGATGACAGGAAACACTTACTATGATTGCACAAACCCCTTATCTCCTTACTGACGGGTGAAGAAAAAAAGAAAAAAATACGCTCTGGAGATCAATGGCACGGGAGTTAGGTGCAGAAAACCGAACCCTCGGCTTGTAGTGCTTTTGCGCCTTGCCACAGCGTACAGCCGCACTCCACAGATCAAGCAGTTTGTTATGGGGACCCATCGGGACCCATCAGGAAAAGGTAAAAAAGTTGATTAAACTCATTTGGGGATTTTCCATTATCCCCATCAATAAACAAGTGTGGAATGTTATGTGCATGAGCCATGACTGGAAGAGTGCTGGCTCCATTGGGGATGCCATTTTCATGCTCAGCATTATATTCCTGGTGCCGTGAGTGGTAAAGCAGATTGTATTACAGAAAATTGAATATTACAAGAAAGAAAAAAAAAATTAAATATTTTTTTTTTTTCTTGCACTGAGACTACAGAGAAAGATAATTTGAAGTCTATTACCATCTGAAAAGACCCAGGGTTATGGCACTGTGGCTTTCCCAGGAAAGGCTGGAGTAATAGAGACTTTCGCTCATATTCAGCGACATTTCGAAAAATTTAAACAGAGAGCCAGATTGGCATCTGGCTCTTGTCAGCCAATCACACTCAAGCTGTCTCTGCCCGCAACCAAAGGTGATTGGCTGACGGTTGGGAGGTGCCAGTCAAGTTTTCCGCTTAAGCTGGCTGAAGTGTTTCTGAATATGAGCATTAGTCTCAAATGAGTGAGGTCACTTTGTAAACAATACCAACACTTTAATTTATATCATTTGCAATGGAAAATGACAAGAGATTCACACATATTACAATGTGGATAATTGAAAGAAGTAATAGTAATCACAAGGTTGGATGGCATTGCAAAACAAAATATCACTGAATGTAACATGCCATTCCCCGCAGTAAGAGCCATACTTGATCAGTAAAAGTCAAGGAAACTGAGATTGCAGTCAACATCATTGTGGAGCAGCCAGGTTGGAAATAATCATGCTGGTGTCTACATATTTTTTGGAATTTTATTGGTTTTAATACCCTATTATTTTCCCTATTAGGTGTCATACCATTCCAGCTATTGGATGAAGAATACACATAAACAGTCCATCACAAATTATGTTGGTTTTAGGGATAATGATCTTTTCTTAGGTTTACTTGAACCTATAATTAAGAATAATTCTATAATAGTATTGTGTTGGAATGTCATCCATTAATGTATTAGAAAAAGAAAAACCTCAAAAAGTGCATATGAAAGTGACAAATTCCCCCTCATTATACACTTGCAAAAGGACTTTATCCTTTAAAATAATCAATTACTGGTATTGCCTAATATATGGTTCAATTGAAACCAATAAATTAGGAAGCAGTAAGGATGTTGCTCTAGGATTGCAGGTATTCCATTTCAGTTATGCTATTATTGCATCTGATTAGTATGAAAGTATGTTCTTGTTTTATTTTCCCTTCTCAGTAGTTCCGTGATTTAGATAGATACGTGAAGAAGTTTAAAACCTGTAAAGATGTTTGAAGAGAAGGTAGATAGGATCATCCCTGTTTTACAAGAACATTTGATGTTTTTGTTTCTTTGCATATTTGATTGTACATTTTTTTTAGCATTTACTTGGGGAATATTATAGTTGTATAGCCAAATATAACCTATGTATATATATGATACGTGCATTCCTTTTTTTATTACAACTGAGTGCTGTTTACAACAACTGCCCAGATTGTTATTAGCAACATTAGGTAACTTTGATTATCATCACCCAAAAAAATCACAGAGATTGATCTTTTCTATTTTGCTATAGGACACCTTAAAATTTAAGATTGCCATGTATTTGTTGTGATTGTTGTCTGCTCATTGGTGGTCTAGATATTGTTTGAAATTAGTTTATAATATCTGGTGCATTTCTAAGAAGTTATGTGCTAAACTTAATTCGAAATAAATGATACATGAAAATTCACTTCTATATCTAGATTATAATTACCTGGAAAGTGAGATGTCTGCAGTACACTATAATGTTCTGAGCTTCTGTGGTCAATAGCTATAATTTTAGGCCTTCAATAACTCTTCTATAACTAATTTAATTTTACTTTGCTTTTGGTTGTATTGTGTTACTATATCTTTGGAATATGAATGGTTATCTGTGATCAGTAGGCTATAGCTCATAGCAACTCTTCACCTAATAACTGTATGTAAATTTTCAGTATTCAGCTTCTTCAAGGTAGATTGAACTCAGGTTACTTTTCTTCTATAAAATAATGTCTCATGGCAGCAAATATAATAATTATTATGAATTATATATTGAATCTCACTAGTTTGGTATGGTATCAGACTTTCATGATTTGGGACAGTGATTTGGATGTGGCTATCATTAATTTTCATGACTATCACCAGCCGTCTATTGCATGCCATTGTCTTGTATAGTTTAATTCTACTACTGCAGACTTGTAGTGATTAATGAAGCTATTTTGCTTTTGTTATTTTATATGTAATGATACTCCCAACAACAAGGCATGGACAGTACATGCTTCAGATTTACCTTTTTTTTAACCATAAGCTTCATTAATTTAAAAAAATGTTAATTTGGGACCTGTTAAGGTTTTACTTATACCTTCAATATTATTATATCTTCTCTAATCTTTACTTCTTGCTTCTTGAGATGTGTTCTTGCAAATGAATATAAGGTCACTCCATATGGTAAAATATATGCCATGAAATGAAAGCTCTTTCAAGTATCGATAAAGCATCTAGCTGATGGGCTAACTGTAACCACACAAACTGCACACAAAAGTGAATATTGTTTTAAAATCTGTATTTTAAGGAATTGCTTTTTTTTTTTTTTTTTTTTTTTTTTTTTTTTTTTTTTTTTTTTTTTTTTTTTTTTTTTTTTTTTTTTTTTTTTTTTTTTTTTTTTTTTTTTTTTTTTTTTTTTTTTTTTTTTTTTTTTTTTTTTTTTTTTTTTTTTTTTTTTTTTTTTTTTTTTTTTTTTTTTTTTTTTTTTTTTTTTTTTTTTTTTTTTTTTTTTTTTTTTTTTTTTTTTTTTTTTTTTTTTTTTTTTTTTTTTTTTTTTTTTTTTTTTTTTTTTTTTTTTTTTTTTTTTTTTTTTTTTTTTTTTTTTTTTTTTTTTTTTTTTTTTTTTTTTTTTTTTTTTTTTTTTTTTTTTTTTTTTTTTTTTTTTTTTTTTTTTTTTTTTTTTTTTTTTTTTTTTTTTTTTTTTTTTTTTTTTTTTTTTTTTTTTTTTTTTTTTTTTTTTTTTTTTTTTTTTTTTTTTTTTTTTTTTTTTTTTTTTTTTTTTTTTTTTTTTTTTTTTTTTTTTTTTTTTTTTTTTTTTTTTTTTTTTTTTTTTTTTTTTTTTTTTTTTTTTTTTTTTTTTTTTTTTTTTTTTTTTTTTTTTTTTTTTTTTTTTTTTTTTTTTTTTTTTTTTTTTTTTTTTTTTTTTTTTTTTTTTTTTTTTTTTTTTTTTTTTTTTTTTTTTTTTTTTTTTTTTTTTTTTTTTTTTTTTTTTTTTTTTTTTTTTTTTTTTTTTTTTTTTTTTTTTTTTTTTTTTTTTTTTTTTTTTTTTTTTTTTTTTTTTTTTTTTTTTTTTTTTTTTTTTTTTTTTTTTTTTTTTTTTTTTTTTTTTTTTTTTTTTTTTTTTTTTTTTTTTTTTTTTTTTTTTTTTTTTTTTTTTTTTTTTTTTTTTTTTTTTTTTTTTTTTTTTTTTTTTTTTTTTTTTTTTTTTTTTTTTTTTTTTTTTTTTTTTTTTTTTTTTTTTTTTTTTTTTTTTTTTTTTTTTTTTTTTTTTTTTTTTTTTTTTTTTTTTTTTTTTTTTTTTTTTTTTTTTTTTTTTTTTTTTTTTTTTTTTTTTTTTTTTTTTTTTTTTTTTTTTTTTTTTTTTTTTTTTTTTTTTTTTTTTTTTTTTTTTTTTTTTTTTTTTTTTTTTTTTTTTTTTTTTTTTTTTTTTTTTTTTTTTTTTTTTTTTTTTTTTTTTTTTTTTTTTTTTTTTTTTTTTTTTTTTTTTTTTTTTTTTTTTTTTTTTTTTTTTTTTTTTTTTTTTTTTTTTTTTTTTTTTTTTTTTTTTTTTTTTTTTTTTTTTTTTTTTTTTTTTTTTTTTTTTTTTTTTTTTTTTTTTTTTTTTTTTTTTTTTTTTTTTTTTTTTTTTTTTTTTTTTTTTTTTTTTTTTTTTTTTTTTTTTACGGAGATGGTGAATTGTTATGGTGCATTAGAATTTGGATTTTATTCTTTTTCTTGGTAAGTCTGTGTTCTTCTGTGTTGCTTATCAGTGTTGCATATATTTTCCTGCTTTTGACAGAATGTCTCTCCATTCTTACTGTATAAAGTACAGTTAGTATTTATGAGTCATTGAGGACATTTTGAAATTTTATGTGATACTTATTGAAGTGAGTTTATTATGTTCATTTTGACCCAATAAATGGGTATAAATGAATTGGGCTAGTTGTCAGTACTGAGGGATTGTTGGTCTGCATTAGCATTTTCCCTGTTGCTTGGCACATTTGGTACAACTTTTAACTGCAGCGCATAACCACAAGTTTGAAAAAAATAGAATATATCCCTTACAGTAGGTACTTTATCTTGTTGTGACACCAAACAAATGATTTTGCAGTTATCAGAGAAAGACAAGCTGATGGTGCAGAGTATGTCATTATGGGGTGCCATCTGTGACATAGCATGGTTTTATACTATCCATGTGCAATAGGTTAAATAGGAAAAATGCAGCTCACTATAGTTTGCACAAATATTTGAGTAGAAAAGATGGTATACTGCGGCCATTCTTTTAGTTCATTATGGTCATTAGGTGGTTACTTAGTTGAAGCTTACAGAGCAGTTTTTTATTCAGTAATATTACTCTGATTATATCATCTTGTGTTATTCTTTATCACTCTCTATGTGTACTTGGTAGTATTTTCAGTAAATGATATAGAATTGATGATTTAGTCTTACCATACAGAGATGGCAGCTACAAGATGCATGGGATGTTTGGTCCTGCGTCATGTTCCTGTCTTCAAATCTCACGGACGACTTGCCGTATCTCGCGGAGTTCATCAGGCGAATGTTGTTTATCCATTCATGTTAGGTAAGTTTTACTGTTTCATGCAAAGATGTTATTTTGTTACAAATATTTATCCTTTCTTTGTCCAAGTTTAGTGTGCTTGCCTTTTTTTTCTTTTTTTTTATTTTTTTTCTTTTTCTTCTTTTTTCATTCCATGTAGGACCAATCACACATGAGGAAATTATTTTGTAGTTTGTATATTCTATGTATCTATCTGGTATTCTCAACAAATTTGCACACATGGTCTTCACATTACAAAAATGCTATTGTTAGGTTTTATTGCTTTATTAGAATTTATTTATTCGTAATAGGGTAAGTAAATACATATAGATTGGTTGTAAAGAGTATAATAAAGAAAGTTTTTATTGTCCTTCTAACGAGGTCTATGCACTATTTAGGGAACTAGGTGAGGGAGATTTTTTTTTTTCCCCCACAGACAAGGAAAATCTTTAGTCTTCAAATTTTTAAAAGTAGTATAGATAAAAAATGCTCTGAAACCAGCATAGAAGTTTCTTTGAAAGTTTTGCGGGCAACATTCCTGTTTATAAATGTGTACAGACTGTACGCTCTTGTGATAGGAAGTACATGAGAATTGATTGTTCATGATGAGAATAGATAGTAGAAAATACAAAAGAAAAGAAAAATTGCCCTTTCGTAGTTCATACCAAATTTGCACCACACACATACATGTATAAATACTGCATATATCCTATGTAATTTACTGACCATCATTTCTGTTTTTTTTTTGCTACAAAGGAATGCTCTGCCTTTTCTCCTCCTCCTCCTCCTCCTCCTCCTCCTCCTCCTCCTCCTCCTCCTCCTCCTCCTCCTCCTCCTCCTCCTCTTCCATAATTGCTTGAGTTTATTGTGTTTTGAGAATTGAAATACAGAATTATGCAGACCTTCATTTTCTTTATTGTTAAATATTCCAGGTAAACGATGGTTTTCAAGCAAAGGATGGATACTGCCAGAAGGCTATGATACAGGAATAACCATTTACAATAGTGCAGTTAGAGAAAAGGTAAATAAATTATATATGTGCTTAGCTCTGAAATTCTGACCGTGGTTAAACTGTTACAGATATAATACCCCATTTCCAAGTTTTCAAGAAAGTTATAAGTATGCCTGTTTTCATAGTATTTCCTATCAGAATGATTTAAAACTCGACCCTCAGGTTCTTGAAAATATAATCAAAAGGTTGAATTTGAATTGCGAACTCATACCCGGCTCCTTTCTCAGGTCCCGTTGAAGACTCTCCAGCCTGGTCTCTTAACGTGGTACTCTTGTGGCCCAACTGTGTACGACTCTGCACATATTGGCCATGCCCTGTGAGTCCAAGAATGTTATTTTGCTAATGTCCTTTCCACTGTAGGTTTCTTTTCTGAATTTTGTTTTACACGTAGATGGCCAGTTAGTACGTCTGTATGGCCTTAACTGATTTCCTTTTTCCTTTAGTTTTTGAGAATTATTATTTTTTTATGCTATTAATATCAATGTTGTTATTATTATGATTGACATCATGATTATTTTGATGTTATTAGCAATACTAATAGCAATAAAAGGTTAAGAACAAATCTTTCTGTAAATCAAGATAAAAGGTAAAGAGACACTATAGATAGGACTAGTATTTGATTTTTTGGTGATTAAGCACATATGGAGCTGTCTTTGTATAAACACATGTGATAAACAAAAACTTCACTATGGACATGGTCTGTATTTTTGACATTCCAGCGTCATTGAGTTAAGTATTCAGTGAAAAACAATTTAATAGGAATATAAGTAATGACAATGGTGATAATAATAAACAATAATAATACTCATTTTGACCTCATTTGGTATTTTGACTCTAATCTTTCAAAATATTTGTTTTACAGGGCATATGTGAAATTTGACATCATAAGGAGAATTTTGACCAAGATGTTTGACCTTAATGTTGTGATGCTCCTTGGGGTAACTGATATCGATGACAAAATAATCAGACGGGCTCAGGATGTAAGTGTTATAGCTCTTTGTTTCAATTTTTTTTTTTTTTTCAAATTGCAACTCGGTACTTAATAAACACATGAAGGGTTGTTTCCAATATCTTTATCGTTTGAGTGAAAAAATCTTTAGGACTCTACATGAAAATTCAGGATTATAGGAATTTGTTTTCCTGGTAAAGATATTCACTTCGTAGTTGATGTCGTCTGCCTTTATCACTTCTCTAGACCTGTTGTGCCTTTCCTGTGTTACATTTGACATAAATTGTATGTAAAGTAATAAAGTACATACTGCACACAGATTTGCTTGATAGTACTGATAGTTCATGAGAATTTCATGATACACTCTTTTTGAGATCAAATGCTTTGGTGTTAATTATGTAATAGCAAAGTTACACCCTGATATATGTAGAAGCTATTAGAAGTTTGAGAGTTACCAAAAGATACACAGTATTGTATCTTTTAATGTATCTTTAGTCCATTCTCTGTTTCACTTTTCTTATGACTTTAACTTTGCAGCATTCTAAGAG